TTTCATCATGTATATGTTAAATTTCAACTTCAAGGGGTGTGCGATAGACTTACCTCCACGTGGTGCACCCTGGGCAATGTATATTCATACGGCAAAAAGTCTATTAACTGGTAGTTGACTTCTCGCTTCAAACTTCCATCACCTCACTCTAGGCCATATTCGACTATTTCCACAGTACTCACCTCACCTTTTTTCTACCTTTGTGTTTGTCTCCTACATCTTTGAAACACTCTTCTGTTCCCTCCTTCTCGACTTTTTTCAATTTGATGTTCCTTCCCCTCCGCGAAGCCTGAAGTCAACTAAAGGGCTAATGATAACTATCAAAACGCCTGCCACTTGATATAAATAAATAAATTTCAACTTCAAAGCAGCAGCCTATGATGTTTAGTTTCTAGACTATATCTATCTCCGTTCTCTCCAGGAGATAGGGGACAGTTTGTTGACTACTCCGTTTCGTGAACATTTTTTCCAATGTCCAGGAAAAAACTTTTAAAATTTTGATCGTAAATATGGTATTATCGTGGAAAAGTTAAATGGTGCTCGCTTATTTACTAAGTCTCTTAATCCTATTATTATGCAAAATTGAAAGGAAAGCATCTCTATCTCCTTAAATCTATTTACCCTAAGATCATATTGATGGCATATCAATGAAGATTAAATTATGATGCCTAAAAAACTAAACTTACAATTTTAAAGGCACAAGAAGTGCGTATTACCAGGAAATTAAATAATGTGAATACTGACAAAATTAAGAGTATAAGAACGGCTACAGTGCAATTAAAAGTCGGCATTTTATGACGATCAGCTGATGGCATTTTTGATGCTTAAAATCTATGATGGCTAAGATCACATGGTAGTTGCAAGAAAATCCAATACCATAAAATACAATACTTTTAAGTGTAAGAAAGTTCAATGAAGATAGAGAGAGAGAGAGCGACACACAGTAGCAAGACTATTTGAGAAATGGCGTGTGCATGTCATTTCATTTCATTTCTAACTCCCACGGTTTAGAGATATTCAGGCTGTACTTAATGGTTATTTAAACCTACTCACAAATATGACGCATTTCGTGATCGAATATTTGTGAAATAGGTATGGACACCTCTCGGTTGTTATATTTCGCATTTTACGAGATAATTTATTTCGGTTAGATTATTCGTAGACCAAGATTACATAACGACAGATGAATGCAACCATAGGTGCAAAATAAAAATGATCAATATAAACACCCATGGATTTATGATAATTTGTTAAGTCTTTCATGAATAAATATAATATATATATATATATATACAAATTAGTAAATATACTTTTTTCCAATAAAAAAGAATCTAGTGCGTTTAATAAAAATACAAGTACTCATCTTAATTTCATGGTTAAGGAATAAGTCACATCGTTTTGACATCAAAGAAAGAAAGACGGGTTGTCTGTCATGGACGGGCTTATTACTGACTTGAGTATTCATCATCTTGGAATCCTTCATTCGTTGCGAATTCATTTTGCATTCGCATCAGCTCCTCAAAGTCTCTCTTCTCCCTCCTCTTTTGTCGTATCTTCTTGTAGGTGAAGAGCACAAAGAAGAAGACACAGCAAGTAACTCCAAAGAAGAAAATAACAATTCCAACAACGTGTTTTGGTCGATCGTTGGCCTCTTCCCCCGATCCCCACATACAACCACCAATAAGGAAGGAGAGAATAAAGAGAGCAAAGAGAATGAACAACGCTGGTTCTCCTTCAAATAGCAGCATTTTCCACTCTCTCTTTGAGTAGGTTAATGCATATTATGCAAGTGCTTCCTTTACATCTAAGTTCATTTCAATTTGTTGGTTAATTGATGGGCGTACGTGAGCGTTTGGGTGCGTCGACACGCACTCTTGCGATCTGGTTGGTCGGCGCTAATACGCGCATAGGCGCCTCTGAAAATACTTTGAGCTTAGGAGAGGGCGTCACCCCCTTTTTCAATGTAATGGGTTAGAAGTTTAATATCTTTCGCCGTATTATGGTTTATTTACCATGGTTACTACTTCAATGGTGGGTCTACCAAACATGCAAAAATGCAATAGATTATAAATAAATTTTCAATAAGGGGAACAAATTTTCATATTTCAATGTGGAGAATTTTTTTCCCAAGGTCGCATTAAACGAGTGGTTAGGATGTCGATTTGGCGATAAAGTCTTGACGAGATTTTATTTTTCCAACTGGATTCCCTATTGTAAAAGCATGTCTTAAATGATTTACTGATTATTTAATTTAAGTAGTATATTGCTTTTTAAGAAAGGGACGCTCGTAGAGAAGTAAATTAAGGCTCACTTGGAAAGTAGAATATCGATGCACACGTAGTCCTGTCACTATGCCTAAGTTTAAGTAATAAGAAGATTGGCATAAGTTGAATCTCTCGCCAGAAACGTTTCATGTTTGTACTACGATATCCAAGATGATTTACTATAAAGATATGTGAATTAAGACTTTAATTAAATCAAGTTTGTATGTATGTACTACTCTTTTTGCTGTCAGATTTAATTAAAACACCATTTATAAAGGCTTTTAGCTAGCAAACGGAAACTCTTGGTGTTACAGGCACTCATATGCAGAACTTGCATCTTTGTAAATTATGAAGGATGTACTATCCTCATTGTTACTCCATCCACAATTACTTCATTTCAACCAAATTAGCTATACTTCGAGATCGTAATTTCATCATTCATGACCACCCAATCAGTTTCGAATGTCCATTAAATAGGCCCACTTTGAGTGATGGTTAAGGTGCTTTGGAACAAAGAAATCGCTCTCTCACATATTTCAATGATAGGGCTGCTTTTATAACGCGAAACAGTCGAAATTAATGGAAGCACATTAATTGTTTACCAGATGGACAACTCCAAAAGTAAGTATTCAATTCTGTCATGTTCCTGTTACAATTACAAGAAAAATGCTTACCCACAGAAAGAAATAACCAATTAATGCGAGTGCACTGTAACTACCCCGATGGAGTGGTTTGAGACCAATCGGAAAAGAAGGAATCGGTTCTGTTATAGAACAGAACGAAAATTAGTGTAGGTCAAAATAGAAGCGTCAGATCAGACCATAAATATGGATTCATTTTCTAATTTTTGAGCACTTCAGTTGGATTCAATATGCAGAATCTCCTAATGACCTTGCTCTTGTGTAGTACTGTCCTGTTCGATAGCATCGGCTCTTACACTAGGCTGGTTATTCTGAGCAGGTTTGAACTGACCACTTTTGATTTACCTCTTCATGGTCAGTAATGAAGATTGCACCATACGCGTTGACATGGCAATCCGAAACAATAGAAGTAGTAACCTTGAGCCCCTAACCTCTCTCTCTCTCTCTCCCTCTCCTTATGGCCTCATCTACGTCCACTTAATTTCGATTTTTCACTGACAAACAGTGTTCATGGTGTGCACCGTCAGCACTTGCTGTGAATAAAAAAATTTTCAGTCTGTTATCATCCGAAATATTCTATTTGTACTGCTTTTAAATAAAACGCACTATTGAGTTACCTTTCTGCATTCACACGGGATTACTTTAATCTCCTTCGCCCGATTTCACCAGGAACCACTCCTTGAGTTAAACTAAGATAATGAAGCGTTCTAATTTCACACTTAATATTATTATATTTTCACGTATAAATGTGATGTGCAACCACATTACTTCGATGTCGGTTAGAGTTATAATGCAGTTTTACTGATGTTAAATGTATGACTTTAAAGAGGTGTTTAAAGCCATCGTTAAAATTATATATCTTCTGATTATGGAGCCGTGGATATCGGAATGCTTTCACACCGACTTGTAGCGGATTGCTACGCTAGTAAAGCCTGACTGACTCAGAAATCTCTATGGCAGATTCTCCAACATCTAGCTAGACTCCCAGAACAAGCTAAGCTATAGCCCAGCTATAAGGGAAACAGACATGAAGTACGGAATACGTTTATTCAATACGTATATTGATAGTGAAGTGTAATGTTGACAAAGCGATAAGTTATCAGATAACTCTAGCATAATTCGTGTGAACCTTAATAGCTAAATATTTCTGAGTAATATTCTTTAGCAGGATTTCTATTTGGTCATTGATGGAGTGTCGCACAGACTGACCATAACAAACTCGCGAGATTCCTCTTTCCTTCACT